ATATATATATATATATATATATATATATATATGTATGACCCTGGTGGAACTGGTTCTAAATTCATTCACGAACTGCGAACGTGACTATTTCGATACGTGTAACAACTGAGGATCAATGACCTCCGCCGTAGCTGAGAGCTAAGGAGAGAGGAAAGTCGAGGGAAATATTGATGCAGATTTTCAATATCGCTCTGCATTCGAACACCTGCCTAGTCCCCTTGCCTAGTCACTTGGTTTCGTGAACAGTTTGATGGAAATTGGATTAAACGACAACGTTGCACTTGGTAGACTGCGGATTCTTACGCATTTATAGGGAAACACAAAAGTGCGAAATTGCATGGGATGTACATAATAAGAATATGAATAAGAATATTCCATATAATAATATCTTGTGTTATATGTATTATATATACGTGTGTAATATATAACGCAAGAATACACGTATAAAATATCCAAGTGTAAAATTTTACACTTTATAATAGTTACAACAGCTTTATAATTACTGTGGTTTATAATTTCTTTTATCACTTTGGTAGGTGAGGTAAATTTCTATCTTTCAAAATTTAGCACGTAAAAATATATAATATTACACAAAAATTCCGCAGTGAAATGGGGTCATTTCTTCGTTAATTTCAAGTTACGACTATTTCTTATATTCTTATACAATCTAGTGCGATAATCTGAAGTTTAGATGCTTGTACGATCGACTGGCGTACACATGCGCGTATATTCCTTCAGGAAAAGGAAATGAAATAAAAAAAAAAAAAAAAAAAAAAACAGGAGCACGTTTCCTTGATTAATTGTTCGCGTAATCGTGATCGCATCCGGCTTGCCATGGGAGCGTATAAAATATGTATTGTTCGATGCTTCCAAATGAGAAAGGGGCTCGAAGGATCCGAAGAAAAGAGAACGTCCACACGTGGCCTTTCCGCGTATAATCGGCAGCATAGAAGAAATTGGAGCGCGCCCGGCAAGTGTTCTTATTCTATTTTCACCCTTCGAATCCGTTCGCGTGTTTCATCTCGTTCTCACGCGAGGCGTTTCTATAGATATGTTCCGAACTTTTTGACAATCTCGCGTCGAAACGAGAGTCTCGTGTGGTTTGAAGCGACAGAGGGCTTGCAAGTTTTGAAACGAGAGTGACAGGAGTATATATACTAGAGAAACTGGTAGAAAATCGAAAGACCTATCGTGAGAGAAGCGAAGTACTCAGGTACGCGAGACCATCTAGACGAGTCGCGTATCATTAGGTTCCATAAATGGAAACTT